GCCACCTGTGCGCACGCGCGCGGGTTGCCTTGGCCTTGGGCTCTTAACCCACTCGTGTCCTGCGGTACCTAGCTGAATGCTGACCCGGACCGAAGTGCTAGCTGTTGGGCGGGCCACTAGAAACCTGGGGCTCGGGGTCTCTATCTAGGCTGGCGGTGGAGGCCAACACACAGTACACACTAAGGTCACTTGGCCATTGACGAAAAACCGCGCTTTTGGCGGCTCTGGGACCCCGGCTTCGGAGGGCTTTGCAAAGGGAAAGCAAGAAGTTCACGTCTGGGGGTAGGGTGGGGGGAGAAAGGCGGGACCCCGACTAGGTGAAACAGGCCCTGTTACTAAGGTTCGGAACTGCACCCCCTGGCCCACGAGTGGAAAGTTAAGCGGGTGGGCTGCAAAAGGCAGCTGCCGAGGAGCAGAAAGCCCCGCAAGCAGTTTCCGCAGCCACAAGGAGTTGGAGAAGCTCTCGGACGGCCAGCGCCACCCTCCGCAACCCGCCGGTTTTCAAGGATGGAGTCACCCAAGGCTGTTTCCCATCAAGCTGACTTGACAACAATTAAGAAAGTTTTTAATTAGCTTCTTGTTATCATTCATTTTATTAATTTCCAGAACTCTCAGGCCATGAATTATTCAGAGGGCAAGCCAACCTGAGTTGGGTGGCTGCGTGTCCGCGTCGCACGTGCGCGGCTGGACTACTGCGGCCGTGTTGCGCGCCTCAAGTCGCAGAGGCGCGAAGATTTGATCAAATATTAAATAACGTAATTATTGCGACAAGGCTTATCTCGCAGGTGAAAAAAAAGGCCCCCACGAGAACTTGATTTCAGCTGCTTTTTTTTTTTAAATCAATTAAGCTGGTGGCCCCCTTTGAAACAGCTGACAGGTTTATGTGGCTCTTCCCATGTGGCTAAGACTGGTGTCCCAATGATAGTGATGGTAGAACATTAGCCAGTATAATTGTGATCGTCACCTCCCCTCTGGCCATCAAGACCCTTAGAGTAAGGTTGGAAAACCTGGTTTTTAACCCGTCTAAAGCTCTTGTTTATACTTGAAACACTAAATAAGGAAAGTTCACCCATTTGCAAGATGGATGGGGTGTTTGGGCAGGTGGCAGTCAAGTGGAGAGGCCAAGGTACAACAAAGGTGAATCTGAGCCTAAGACTAGGACTTACCGCCATCAGGGTCTTGCGCTGGGTCCTCCTCCAGCGAGACCAAGTGTAAGAACTGGACCCACGCAATTTTATCATCACAAGAAAGTAAAAACCGATACAATCACGGCAGTGGGTGCCTAAGGTTTATTTAACAGCTTATAATTGAGGTTGAGAGTAATTTCAGAACACGCATAAGACAAAAATCTATCCAGAAGTTAGCTGATGGATGCTGAGGTCGTCCTTTGTTAGATCTACAGAAAAAGCAGAATCCCACGAAGAGTTCGGAAAGCAGTTTTAAGAGGAAGGTAGCATTACTGTGGCAGGTGCTTTTAATGCATATTTTCTCTTTCCCTTTGCTGCTGCGTGTGTTAAGAATCTAAAACAAGATCAGTGTCTAGTTCTCCTTATCCTCTGAAACTTGTGTTCTTTAAGATTTCAGAACCACACATTTTGATTTCCACCGCTAGCAGATGCAGGAGAAAATCCCCTTAGAATAAGTGCTGGACTTTCGGAACTCTGAAAACCAAAACAACCACAGATCGGCAAACCTTTGCCCTCTCTTCAGGAGTTTTGATTTAAAATTTTCCGTGGGCTGAGAGTTAAAGGAGACCCATAAGAGTCGTATCATCCCTTCCTGCCATATATACATCCACTCGCCAGAAAGCAAAACTTTGTTTTGCTTTGCACGGTTTCCTACTACATAAAATAGGAAACCCTGCAAAGCAATGCGTTTTCATGATGTTTTATTAACATAATAGTCTTTTTTTTTTTTACTGGGCAAGGATTTACTTAATACAAAACAAATGCTTAAATTTTCAATACATACATCATCCATTATTATATAATACAAATGTGTATGCCTGCAACATTTCTGTTGGAGCAGATTATTAGAAAAACAACCTTTGTAAATCTTTTTATTTGTTCATTCCTGGATCTCCAACAATGAAATCTGGTCATACTTTTCTATAAAATAATGTGTTCTTTTACAAATGCATTTTATTAGAAACTCTGATGATATTTCAAGGCAATAACAGAAACAAATCAATTTTGATGGAAGAGATCTATTTTTAAAAATACCTCTAGTGTTTTTTTTAAAATATTAACAACTGTTTAAAATCACACCTTTTTAAAATGTACTATTCTTTTCTGAACATCACTTTTCTTTCACAGATATGCCGGTGAAATTAAAAAGATTTAGCTAAAATAGGATATGACTTTAGAGGATATAGTCCCAGCTACTAAGGAAGTTTGTACATTTGGCATTTGATCTAGTCCCAGGTCACCAAAAATAGAGAATCTCTTCTCATTCTGGAGCAATAAGTGGTATGCAATATGTTCTAAATGAAGAGAAGCATTTGACAAGTTATCTGGACAAATCAAAGGATAATTTTAAAATTTATTAACTCTCAACAAAAAGTCATTTAGTTGCAACATTTTTTAGAAGTGTTTTTGAGTAGAACAGCACATTTAAGCCTCAGATGCCTGCGTCCCTGACCTTTAACCTAAAAGCTTTTCAGGTGCCCTGCTGCTCACAACTTCCCATCACCACTCCAAACCGAGTGCTGTGGCTTAAGAGTTTCTGTAATTTAAATGTAAAAATTGATTTAAAAAATGGGCAAGTAATTCATTTTACTCAGAGCACCAGTTTTCTGAAAGCTAATTCTGATGTAGGGGGAAAAAAAAGCTATCTCATGATCCCTTCACTTATTTTGATGTCCCTTTCGTCTCCCTTCTCATTTGTTTTTGTTTAGCTAAGGTTTCATTTATTTGCTTTTTGGTTGGTTTGGTGTTTTTTTGGTTGTTGTGTCTCATTTGTTGAACAGCTCTACCAGGAGTTGGCTCAATGGAAACACAAAAATTCACCCGAATCATAAAACTGCTCTTCTTTCAGTTATGTTTTATTTGTAAGTGTACTGGGACACATCTCCCTGTTGTATGTTGGCGTACAGAAATGGTTCTGATAGAAGGGGGGGGGGGAGCAAAGCCACAACCAAGGAGAAAGCTCTGCAGACATAGCATGGACAGGAGGGACAGTTAGTGAGACATTGCAGGATTAACACTGGCAGTATGTAACCACTGTGTGAGCCTGTGCACGAAAGAAAATATTTACAATAATGTTGTGTTCTCCGTGGAGACAGGCAGTAGACTGTGAAATCACACTATCCACAAAACGGTCTACCAGAAAGCTAGCCCAGTTTAGTGCTCAGTTTCAAATGCATAGAATGTTTGTGCTGCAAACAATGATATACAACATAATTAAAACAGCGCCTAACCAGAGTGAGACCTAGTCGTATTTCTTTCTGCACCTTTCAAATCATGCATGATTTTAATCTTGTTAATCAGTCCCGTTTTCCCCCCTTCATTTGTTCTGTTTTCACCTTTACTTATGGTTAAATGATAGTAACAAACCATCTCCACGTGAGATCCAAATAATATCTTGTACACAAAGCAGGAGTTTCACCAAACCACCTTCAACTGTCTTTCTCGTTTTTTAAAAAAATCCACCAGCAGTTTGGATTGTTAGTATTAAATACCATACATGACTTTCTATTTTTGAAACTCATAGTGCAAATTAAGGTTTTTGCAACTCAACATTTATGCCCTGTAATAAATGATCTTTGAACAACAGTAACAACAAGAAGAAGGAAACAAACACTCTGCTTTCCCCAGGGAAGTGCAGACCTATTTGAAACAAATAAGGCCGAGGAGAGGGTCTTTAAATCTTTAAAAGTCTTCCTCTCTTCTGGGATTTAAGGTAATCTGACAGCCAGCCAACTTCTGCCCCCAAATGAAAGCAGAAACTTCTGAGCTTTTCAACCACTTCATGATCTCCAAGAGGGGGAAAAAAAGGGCCCTAGAAAAAGTAAGATGATTCTTATTCTGTGGAGAAAACTGGAAACAGGAGGAAGTTCCTCTTCTAAGGTTTGTCATCCTATCATTCTGTTTAAATTAACAGCAACGAGTGTCAGTGGATAGTCTGAATCTGGACTGAAAAGCAAAGGGCCAGCTAAGGTAAAGTTCTATAAGTGGGGCTAAGAGGAAAAAAAAAATATTTCAGATAATCTGTTCATAGATGCAGGAACAAAAATTAAAAAGAAAGATCATACTGTAATCATTATTAATGATCTCGGAATAAAGCATTTATTTCAGAGCGATAATTTCTGTTTCTTTAGACTCTCATCGCCTAAAGAGTCTCACCTGACCAACACCAGGCCACAGGACTTTGGCCACCGCGTTCCTGGAAAAAGAAGGTTCAGTGTAAGCAACCAGCCGGCCTCCCAAGCCCCTTTGAGCTAAGCTCCAGCGCCTTCCTGAGCTGAAGCAAAGCCTTGCAATCTCTTTGGAAAAAGAAATAAATCAAATAGGGTATGGCTGGATGGGTGTGAGATTTTAGAAGGGCAAATTAAACACCGAACAGCTAGTTTCCTATGTAGAATTTCACACTCCAGCTTGTTTGGTTTTCATTTATGACTCACTTGTGTGTGCGGAGTTGGGGCGGTGGTAGAAATGCTATTGCTCTTTTCTCTTCCTTTGGGGCAAATGAAGCTGCAGAATGCTGCTCCCTCCCCCGGACTTCAATTTCTAAAGCATCTTTCTTTGTCTCTCCCCCACCCCTTCTTTACTTGTCTAGGGTTTTATGTTTTGTTCTGTTTTGTTGGTGGTGGTTGGTAGTTTTGTCTTTGTACATAGTTTCTTGGTCCCCAGATGATTTTGATTAGTGTCTCTGGTCAAGAAAACGGTTCGTTCCCAGTTATTCCCCCATCTTTCCCCCCACCCTAATCCCCAGAACCATCCTGCTCCTCCAAATCCCCCGGCTCTAATCTTTGCTTTTCTTTCCCCCCCACCACGCCCTGCTCACCCAACTGCCCCCCAATTGTCTCCTGTCATCCCATACTTTCTCCACATCCAACACCCCTGGTCCTCTGAGCTGGGGGACGGTTGGGGCAGGGTGCAGAGTGGAGCTGAAGAAAGGGGGAGAAAGGGGACTCCCCAAATGCAGGCAGGATAACGGACACTCTAAATGAGGGGAAGTAGGCCAGAGGAAGAAGAAACGCACCCCTCAGCTCCCCAGTCTGCCCCACCCGGCACCTCACACCCTTCTCAGTAAGTGGCTGAGAATTTCATCCGCTTCTGCTTCTGTCTCTGGTTGCAAAACCACACCCGCACCACGTTCTTTTTGAGGTCCAGTTTCTCAGCGATGGCGGCGATCTTCTCCGACGAGGGCCGGGGTTGTACGGCAAAGTAGGCCTCGAGGGAGCGCTTCTCCGGCGCGGCGATGGAAGTCCGCTTGCGCTTCTTCTCGCCTCCGTTGAAGAGCTCGGGCTTGTTCATTTTCTCACGCTGCGCGCCCTCGGCCTCCTCCAGCCACGCCTGCAGGATGGGCTTGAGCGCGATCATGTTGTTGTGCGAGAGCGTGAGCGACTCGAACCTGCAGATGGTGCTCTGGCTGAGCGAGCCCACGCCCGGGATCTTGAGGTTGGCCAGCGCCGAGCCCACGTCGGCCTGCGTCACACCCAGCTTGATGCGCCGCTGCTTGAAGCGCTCGGCGAACGCCTCGAGCTCGCGCGGGTCCGTGTCCGAGTCGCAGATGGACGCCAGGCCCGCCGCGCCCACCACCG